ATAAAAATAACGAATATTTTGTTAATAAATATATATGAAAATTTCAAATATAATCTTGTAAAATTATTTTTAAATTTTATAAACCTTTGCAATATTTTATTTAATATATATCTTTTATAAAAATTATTTTAAAAATATTTATATTTATAATAAAAAATTTCAAATATTTTGAAACTAATTTATGCTTTGTCTTTCAAATATGATTTTAACTTCTCTTTCTTCACTTCTTTCTCCTCTTCTTTCCTCTCTTCTTTCACCTCTTCCTTTCTCTTCTCTTTCTCTTCCTCTTTCTTCTCCTCCTTTTTTTTCGTTCTCTGATTCTTCGCTAGATTTTGATTCTCTTAAATTAAATTTTTGCCTTTTTCTATTTTTTTTTATTAATATAAATTATATATATTATTAGAATATTATAGATAACAAAATTTCAAATATTTTTAATACCTACTTTATTTTTTTGTATTTTTTTACTTAAATATTTACTATTATTTTTTATAATTTCATTATTTGAATTTAAAAAACTTTCACATAATACTACTGCAAATGCTATTTGTTCTTTAGATATTTTTTTGACGTCTGGCCATGTTTCATAGATAATCTTTTCACAGCAGGTTTCATTTTCATCCTCTGGTATACTTGTGTACAGTTTTTCATAACATTCTTTAACTATGCATTTTTCCTTCTAGTTTTTAATTTCACTTGGTGATGCCTTCATAGTTATTCGCAGAAGATTTCTAAATACCGCAAATATTGATTTTTTGATTTGCGAAGACATAGTCCCCCTTCTTGACCGATGCCTTTTCATTTACTTTGAATAATTCAAAATCTTTTATCAATTATTAGAACATTTAAATTATAATGTAATTTAATAAAACTTACTTTTTTTTAAATAGTTAAATTGTAATAAAATATCTAGTGTTTGTCATTCTAATTTTCAAAAAGCTTCGGATATTTTTGAATAATATAATTTGTAGCAATTGCTTTAAATACTTTGTCACTTGGGTAAATTGTTTTCAAAATTGTCTTGTTCACAATTTCGTTAACAATTTTCTTTTTTTTTTAGAATATTAAGAATATTATGAGCAAAATAATTTTTTTTGTGAAGAAAATAAATAAATTACTTATATTGACGAAAGTTGGATTGTACATCTCATTCTATAATTTATTATTTTCAATTTTTTTTCAGATGTCAACTATTTCCTTTCGTAAGTTTTTGACTTCCTTATTAATTTTTTTTAAATAATTTAACATTCAATTATCTTTTTCTTTTCTTGTCAATGGTTCTTCTTCTTCTAATAAAATAAATTATATATTATAAATATTTTATTAAATATTTAAATATGAAAATTTTTGAAAAATTACCATCAAAATTATACTTGCACGTAAAATTATTTTAGCTCTGAAATTACAATTTAGGGGAAAAAAAGTCAAAATAGTTTTTCATAGAAGACAAAATTATTTTACTTAAAACCCAAAATTTTTTGACTACCCAGATTTATTCTTTGATTAAAGACACATATAACTAGGTACTTTTTTTACTTTTATATATAGAATAGATTTTGCATAAATCTCAAAAAGTCGAAATATATTAAGAATTCAAAATCAATTTTAGAAACATGTATAATCAGAATGTTGGTCTTCTCTTCCTATTTCCATTCTTCTTCGTTTTCTTGTTTTTAATGATGGAGATGTTCGTCTTTTATCATCATCTAATATCAACATATCTTCCATTTCAGTCTCTCCTCTCGTTGCTGATATTGATGCTGCTTACATTGATTCTGTTACCAGAGTAAATACTGCTTGCACCGAAGTCCTTTTTTTTACTTTAGTGAAACTTGATTTTCCAGATAAAAAACTAGAAATTCTATCTTTATCTTTTTTTTTGTTTTTTTTAATAAAAGCTAATTAAAGTTCTTTGTGACATTTCAAAATTTTTTAGATATTCTAGGATTTATTTTATGAAGATGAAAGAATCTCGATTCTTTATATATATATATTTTTCCGTCTCATTTTTACAGAATTTAAAATAACTCGAATATTTCTGAAATGTATCATCATATTTCATTTTACATATGTGTTATCTTTCATTAGATGTCAATTCTCCTTTTCTTTTTTTGATACATCATGATATTATTCCTAATTAATTATATAAATATTGAATTCATGTCATGAATTATTTTAGGATATGTAATTATAAAATAAAATTACTTTTGATATGACGCGAAAGATAATATTATTGAATATTTTTATACGCATGTGTACATAC